TTTGAGGAAGAGTTTGACCATATGATAAGGGACAGATTAGAATATTAAGTGGCTGGTTTTGGATGATTATACATTATGGATTTTGTCATCTTGTGTGTGATTTCAAGAAAGATGATATGGAGATTATAAAAGTTGATTTCCTTGGTTTTATTGGATGGCCTAGCTCGGCTTTTATTGAAGGAAAGAAAGGGGAATGACTCTCTTTGTTTGATTGTGAGAGAAGTCAACAAAGAGACAAATAGCTACTGTTCACCTTTTGACTTAAAATGGACAGGGATTTTGGCCAGATTATGGGGTGGGTTTTAAGTGTTTATTTTGGTCAAAAACATGATAATTTTGTTGAAAAACAGGAGAAGGATTTTCGGCCAAAGAGGGGAGTACAGGATGGTCTCCTTTTGATGGTGGTTTGGGTTGTTTTGGGGTGATTGGTTCGGCCTTTAGTAATCCAAAAGGACTATGGCTAGGATTTGGGTTTTGATGATAAATTCATTCCAAAAAGGATCAAGACACCTAGACATTAATCCATTGATTTGTTTAAGGACTTGGGATTCCATATTAGTAACCCGGGGTATAACAGTGGGATACTCTAAGAATGGAACTATACACTATAATTCAGCTATAGTTTTCCTAGATCCATCTGTGAGTGGGATATCTTTTTGAAGCACTGACAGAATGGTTGATAGAAGATTATTCGCATTACAATCAGAAGATATTTAGAACTTTCCTTCAAGTGATTCTCTCTTATGGTAAGAGCAAAATCAACATTTAAACTAAGAAACAAACATGCCTCAAGTCAAAAGAAATAGTACATGTCCTGTATTTAACCTGATTGCAAGCAATTGCTTGAAGCATCCTTTCTTTCTCCTTATATGATGGAAGAGATTTTCGAAAACCCATCATTTCTTGGCCTTCGGGTGACTCCTGCATTCAATCAGCAGGAAAATCCCCATGTACAAGGATTGAATGACAAAATGAGTAAAACATAAGTCATAAGTTGAAACCAAAGAGGAAATGATGCATATATCTATTGAAGGTAACTATTAAATGCAAAAATCCCTGAGACATTGTCCAACATTTAGAGCTTGTTCTCGTCAATTTACTTATTACTTATTCTTATGGGAATCAGTTTAGGGTCGGTTTGGGGCGTTTCTGTGCTAGTGTTTATTGGCCTATTATTGATAAGCAGTTTTTAACTTATAAGCTGCTTATAAGTCAAATATTCTTTCGCAAAAATAAAATGACTTAAATGATAGATAAATCATTTGTAAATATTCATTAAGTGGTGAGGGACAATTTTGTAAATAATCTGGTCAAAACGTAGAAACGAAAAAAACTAGCTTAAAAATAAGTAGCTAAGACCTACTTATTTTTTCTGACTTATAACCAGCTTATAAGCACACAGAAACATGTCATGAGCTACTTAGGCCCCGTTCCATTCAACTTATTTTTTGCTTTTCTCTTATACTTATTAAAATCAAATCAGATCAGATGTTTTATGCTTTTTTCATATAAAAATAATCATTAAATTAAAAAAAAATTTGTAAGTATAAGAGAAAAGCAGAAAAAATAAGTTGAACGGAACGGGTTTTTGACCAATCTCCATGAGTATTGTCTCTCGCCCTCCACCATCTAGGTTTTTCTCTTCTTTTGAATTCTAAACTTTCCCGATTTTACCAAACACTAGAAAAAGGAAAATAGCTTCCGGAAAATACCTCATTTTCTAAGAGTCATTTTCCGGACACAATTTTACTCATATTCCCTTTTTTTGAACGAACCCTTAAATCAAATTACATCAGAACAGATTAGAAACACCTTTAAATATAACGACATTCAAATCAGATATCAAATCAAAACTTATTCCAATAATTTCAGAATCAAACATATCAAATCAAAACTTATTCCAATCGGTCGGTTCCGAATTAGGTGAAGAGAACAAGCCCTTATTGTGCAGATCTAAACATCTTTCTGCAAAGATTACATGAACATACAAAACCACAATCCTTGTGTTGAGAAGTGAAAGGATCTAATAGGGATCAATGTAGCAGGAAGTTGGGAGACTTTGACCTGATTAAAGTTCAAAAGCTATAGTATTATACCACACTTAGAGTTATTTTAGTGATGAGTTGGAAATGTTTATTAATTAAGTTTCTTTGAACTCATAAAAACTCCTGCATCCACCACCAATAAGAAAAATGCTCAAACTTTTTCAGAGGACAAAATTGCCAAAACAGATTGAAAGAAAAGACATTTTCCCCCAACGACTACAAGAAATCAACCAAGAAATGAATAGTTTCTAATTGGACAAGTAAAGCCCCGTGATATTTAATGTAGGCAGCAAATGCAAAGAACAGTTTGTCTTACACCACATATCATAATTGCTAATGCATCTTGATAATTGATGTCAAAGCTCTCAAAAGAGAATGCATAATGCGCATGATGAGTTATGACAATGACACTTATCAGAATGTCCAATTTGAAAATTCTATGGCAAGCATTTTTTCACTTGTCGCACACATTAGAAAAGTGTATGCTACACGAGATACTTTATCACAACCCTAGGGGCAGAGGGAGGGAAGATATAATGAAACCTGCCATGCTCTCTGCAAATTGCGCATGCGCAAGCTTCGCCTCTGAAGAACCTTCTCCATAACAGAGTCATCTAAGAAAGAATCCAGATTTTCATCCATGGATACATTTTCAACCTTATCAGTGGATGCACTTTCACTAGGTTTACCATCTGACTTCCCACAAGTAAGCTGGATCCGGTCCAGATGTTCCTGAAGCAAGCCTTCCACTCTTCTTTGTAAACTTAGTGGGATGACAACCTAAACAAGTGTACAGTAAGAGCTAACCTTTGCCTGAATTGACATAATTTTCAGATCTTATCTTGTTGAAATAATTCAACACGGGCTATATTTGTAAAGTTGAAAAGAATAATGTTTTGCAAACTTAGACAATATGCATAGCCTTGTTTAAAGAGATCTGTCATTGAAAATTTTAAAATTTTGGTAGGAAAGATTAAGACAGCTGCATTATCAGTACCAACATTTTATGACCAATAAAGCTGATTTTCAAATTTATGTACTCCATCTGTACTTTTCAAACTTACATTGTCTGTATATCATTAAATAAACTTCATAGTTCATTTCAAGGAAAGAAAATGGTGCTTCAAACCATATACTCCCTCCGTCCCAAAAAGTCCTTCATGTTTCAAAAAAAACGTGTACCCAAAAGTCATTCCCATTTCTATTAAAAACTAGTTATACCCCTTACTTTTCATACCCTGCCTATCACATCACACTTTTTTCCTAATAATCTACATATCACATCATACTTTTACCAATCACATCAAGAGTATTTTTGTAAAAGCAACACAAAATTATCTCTCCCTTATTTTACCACTTTAGTCAATATGTCCCTATCTTTATGGGACAGAGGGAGTATATCTCTTCTAAATAAATCTCGACTACAATTTTTACTTTCCTAATTTCTAGGCTCCAACTTACATTTTCTGTATATCATTAAATAAACTTCACATTTCATTTCAAGGAAAGAAATTGGTGCTTCAAACCATTTATATTTCTCGTAAATAAATCTCAACTACAATTTTCACTTTCCTAATCTCCAGGACAATTAAACTTGGTTTGTTTTTTTCACAGAAATATCTCATCTATGTGATTTTGGTCATCAATTCCTAGACAACACACTTTTTACACCTTCATTTCAGTTTTTCAGATGAAAAAATGACTAAACCAAATGATAGTTAATATCAAATATGAGTTGAATTACCTCTCTTTGGGGCCGCTTATCATCAAGATCTGGTCTATAGTTGGGGAGAGGAACTTTGCTTACGACTACTACTTTCCCGTAAATTTCACTAGAGAAAGGAAACTATTCCGTAAGACTGTCCGGGATTGGGGCAACATAAACAATAAGAAAGCATACAAGGATAGGAGATACCTGTACAGGCCCATTCTTTTAGCAAGATTAGATATTTGCTCATAATCTCGCCTATCTCTTTTATCTCTAGATACAACTTCTTGGTCCTCGCCGCGTAACAATAAGCTAAGCTTCCATTTCCACTCGTCAATGTTGGCCACAGATGATGATGCCTACAGTTAATTCTCACTTTTACTATTGCCTATTTTCACAGTTAATATTGACTTTAAAGTTTATATATAATTGTTAACGCCATTCGTATGTTTGAGAATTATTTTTACTATCCAACTTTATTATAATAAGAATAGAATTTTGTGAGACAACATTGCTCAATTCATTCCATCAAAAATTCAGTTACTGGGTATTAAAAAAGCATGAGTTGTAAAATTTAAAGCTTACAAAAATAAACATAGTCTTTCAACGGATAACACAAACGATGGGAAAACAATAAATAATAGAAGAGTGGAAGTTAGGCAAACGGATATTAACTACTCGTAGATGACTCTCATAGTCGCATTCGTATTCATCATCCGAGAACTGCTCGACTGCGTAGCTACAAAACCGGCGTTCCCAATGCCAGGACACGCCATAGTGGGAACGGCATAAATTCACATCTTTGCCTGAAAGTAAAGCACGCCGGCAGGTACGTGAACCAACTGATCGGAATTCGTGGCTAGCAGAGTACGACAAGATGTGGGAGAACCGTGAGGACGAACATCTTCGGGTGTATGCCAAGAGAAACCCTATCTTGGATTGCATTTCTTATGTAGGGGTGGCCACCTGCGGATTGGAGGAATTCGTTTAGAGCATTATGCTATTAGACCATTTGTATCCATAGGTAGAATCCTTTTTGATTTTATAGTTCATTCGAGTTCCATAATTGAGAAGAAACTCCATCGGGTCATTTATTAATGAGTAAAGTGTAAACAACTTGGTTCCCAAACATTGGGAACCAATGTACCCGGGGCACCGGAGCGCCCCCGGGTCATCCCATGACATTGGTTCCCAATGTCATGGGAACCTTCCCCAAGTGTAAAATCTAAAAGATTTACTTTATACTATACATAAATTGGATCTCCAACGCATGCTTTATAAAATGGAAAATGCTAAAAACCCCCCACCATTGCTACCACTCATGCCCCTCCTACATAAACATGTGGTAGGGAGGCAAAAAAAATAAAATTATAGGGTGGGTGGAGAATAGGTAGAGATAAATATGTGGTAGAGAAGTGGGTAGAGGCAAGGTTGGTAGCAAGGGTGGGGGGTGTGTAGCATGGTCCAATCTTGCCTCCACCCACTTCTCTACCACATATTTATCTCTACCTATTCTTCACCGACCCTCTAATTTTAATTTTTTTGCCTCCCTACCACATGTTTATGTAGGAGGGGCATGAGTGGTAGTAAGGATGAGGGGTTTTTAGCATTTTCCATAGAAGATACACTAGGTAGTGTATTCCACTATTCCATCTATTTTACTTCTTTTTTGTCTCTGGTCTTCCCCTTTGTTCTCTTCCCTGTTGTTCGATCGTCTTGGAGGCCAGCCATAGTTCACAAGTACTGGGCAAGTGGATTTCTTTTCTGCAAAAATTTTCTGGAGGAAAGCATCCATCGATTCAACAAACTTTTTCAGAAAGAGCAACTATGGAAGGTAATTTTCTCAGCTCCACTTTCGCATGTACAAGGTACAACATGCAAATTCTTTTATAAACATATTTGCAATTTTTTTTAAATTTTATTTTGTACTTGGTTGGCAACTATCTTCCTAAGACAATTAAAAATAAGAAATGAAAACTTACTAAAATATTATAACTATCATAATTAGGAATAGCAAGCTAAACTGAACTACAAAGACTACTATATATATAATGCGGTAATAACATGGGTGCCTTCCGTGGTTTACAAAAAAAACATCAAAACTCCCTCTACTTTCAAAAGTTATTTGTAAAATCCCTGTGGTTTTTAAATAGTGCACAGACACCTCTTGCCTATTTTAGACATGAAATGACATTTCTGCTCTTGGTTTTTCTCTATCTTCAAATTTCACCCCTTTCTTTACATTTTTTGTTATATAAATAAATAAAATAAAATATACGCCCTCTTTCTCAAATTAAAATATTTCATTTATTTAATTTTCAAAAAAATAATTTTTTTAGAAAATGTTACAAAAATGAAATAAAATACACTTTTTCATTAGAAGTAAGAGTAAAATAAATAAAATAAAAAATTAGATAATATATACTCACCATATCTCTAATTAAAAATACTAACTTATTTGTTTTTTAAAAGTAAAATAATTTTTTAAGTACTTTCAAAAATGAAGAACAGAAAGATGAAATAAAATATGGAATTAAAGAAAAAGACTATTTATACTTTTATTTCTTTTCATTACCTTTTTCAAACTATTATTATTTTTACTTTGTATATACGGAGTAATATTTTATTTTTCATTTTATTTTGTACAATTCTCCAAAAAATCTTTTGTTTTTAAAAGTACATTATGAAAACAGAGGGAGTTTCGATGCCCTTTTTGTAGACTACGGGGTACACCCAGGCTATTAACCTTACATATAATTAATATTATCATCCCCACTAGGTAAACTAAGCTCGTTCACTACAAGAAAAAGTGCTTTTAACCGCACTAATTTTGCACCACATGGGCATGTGTGGTAAATAAATTAAGTAGGACTAAACGTTTCCACACTTCTAAATGTGGTTACAAAAAATTAACAATTTCCTACAATTAACAAGTGTGGGTGTTTTTTTATTTCAAGTTTTCAATAAGTGATCAATTACTTTATTTTTAGTGATACTGTCCAATTACGACCTAATCTTATTCAAGACCTAAAGGATGGAAATTGAAGTCGGTTGCCACTGGGCTATCACGACCCGCGGCTCTAGCTTCAGATGCGTCGACTGTCGAGACAACGATGAGAGCGACAAGAGAACCTCTAGATCTGAAATTCAAACAATTCAACGGCGACCTCCTCCAAATGGGGGGCGGTGACTACTGCGGCGGCAATGACCCTTCTCTTAGACGGCGGAGACTTTAGCGACAATGGCAAGTTCATGGGCGATGGCACTGCCTCACGATGTGGATAGAAGACAGAACAATACCATCGTACTTTTCTTCATTCTATTTTAGAACTTTTAATTTCTTATTTCTGTATTCATAAATTGTTAGATCTTAATTTTCCAATTCTAAGATTTTATTCATGAGCTCTATTTCCAATTCTGAGTTTTATTATTCCGTTTAAACTTTTTCTCATATTTACACGGAGCATATATCACAGAGGCTCCCACCTCACAGTGACATTCTCTACACATCAGGTCTAGGTTATCAGAAAATCGCATATTAGCAAGCTGATGTAGCAATGGAGGAGGAACGGGAAGGGCAACCATTTGCCTATATCAAAGGCTATTTTCAAGGGTATTATCTTTGAACCTATGTTTGTTTTTTCGTTTTCTTCTTTGTTTATGTGTTGATTTTGTGTTTATTACCCATTTTTATTAGTATTCTGAATTTGTATTGTCCACTTTGAATTTCAATTGTTCAATAGTAGTGCTTGGGAAATTGAAAAATTAGAGTAAATGAACTTGATTATAATTTTATTATGTGGTGAAAATGAATATTCATGCCCTCAACATCTACTGAGACTACTAAGTTTTATTATTAGTGATCAACATCTTATTCGTCAACAAATTGGATTGGAAGTAGTTGTAATTTAGGCTACCAGAATATATGGCACTTAAATTGTTGAAATTGTTTCTCCAATAAGTTGTATTCTGAGAGCTGATTTTGTGTTGTTCTGAATATGACAAGCTATTGGACCAGATAAGTGTGACCCATTTGTTTTAAATTACTAAGTCTTTTGGTATATTGGCTACTGGAGTGACTTGTTAGTACTCTTTACTCCAAAACATATTATTATACACAAAGAATGAGTTCATTTATTTAAGGTAGTCAAGATCTTCATTGGTTGTTTAAATTCTCCTCCTTGTTTATTAGGTGTAGGTTTTCTGTTTAGTATAGTATAGTATATATCATTTCTTACGATTGTGCCAAGTGTTATTTTTTGAGGAAAGATGTTATTTGGATGAGATTATTATATGCAAAGTTTCCTACAATCTATCTGAAATGGAAAAGCAGAATAAGATGAAAGGATTTACAGATTTTTTACTTTGTTTGGATAGTTATATCAAAATATCTTATGTCATGTGATAAGCATATTTGTACAATCTCTGAAGTAGATTAGGAGAATGAGATGAAAACAAATTCTCAAAGACCACTCTATTATAAGACAAACGTTCTATTCTTACTAGTAAAAGTTCTTTTTGTTTGAAAATTCAAATTCATTGCTCAAGATGTAGAGAACTAATTAAGAAACTTTTTTCAATGTATTTTGTGATAAATATATTATTTTTGGAAGCATATAAGTGTTTTCTGCATTTTATAATAGATTAATAGTTTACTCAGTAGACTTTAACGGTCAAGTCCTTGAGCACCTTATTCTCTTATCTGGGCATAAAAGAGATGATAGGGTTGAGAGCATAGCCAAGGTACTCTGCCTTGGAGTGAAATCCATTTTGGATGGCCATTGTTGCTTCTCATTTATTCCATCTAAGAGAGTTTGTTTAGTCTCATTTAACTCGTAGATGATCTATTTGACGATATTTGATCAATGTTAATAGCAGAACTCCATAAAAAGGTTTCAAGAAGACTAAAGTACTAAGTTTATTAGATTGTACCGGATTCTTTTGTTATGTTGTGCAATAGGGAAAGTCTTGATGTTCTTTCATTTTTTTATTGTCTTAGATTACGTTCACAGCATGTGAAATCCTCACTCTTTTAGTGATTTGCAGATAGATAGAGCAACTTGCTCATTTGATAAAGAACTTCAACATGAAGGTAGAGATTGGCAGAGGTAATATGAGTAACTTTATTCTTTTAGAGGTGTTGGCTTCATTAAGACTTCTTTCATGAGACTATGAGCCTATTTTTCACCAGAGTTGCAGCGCGATTTGATTTGAAGCAGGTTGCAGGCCACTAGGCAGAATTTGGAGTCCAAGTCTTATTTTTTGCATTTGAAAATTCAAAGAGAGTTGCATCAACCTAAAGTGATTGAGAAATTTCTCAGTTTGGGTTTTTTATTTCTTGTAATCGAAATGGGGATTAGTGTATTTTGAGCCAGGGCAGTACACAACCTGCAAATGTACCAATTTACTCTATTAATAAAAGAATTCTTTAACAAATGTTGTTCAGCTTGCAAGTTGCTCCGTATATGTTTCTGCATTTTCTAAGTCCAAATACTATTTATAATTAATATAAATATATTTATTTAAATATTAATTATTGTAATTTAATTGTTGTGTTCTTATAAATAATAAATTCTATATTAATTGGCATTATTATTTTTAAATTAATATGACATTAGCAACACTTGTAAGTGATGGTGCTAATATATAAATGTGGCTAAATAATGCAATTACCCCATTTATGTGTGCCTAGAATATCCATTTGTGCACATATAAATGTGGTAAAACAAGACATTAGCCACATATGTAAGTGTGGCTAATATACTAATTACCCGCACTTGTCCAAAAGTGCGGCCAAAATTTCCTCACATTTACGTAGCAATACTTAGTGCATGTGTGGCAAACTAGTCTTTCCACATTTATAAGTGTGGCGTACAACAGTTTTAAGTGCGGCCGAAGACCAACTTTCTTGTAGTGGTTATGTAATGCTTCAAAATAAATCCTAAAAGTTTTGTAAAATTATTATTCAATTAAAAAAATTGTTTGGATTAAGATAAATTATTGA